AAGCAGAAACACAGCTACGACAGTAAATAGACTAAGGTTAGGACATTGTGCTACACCAGAACACCTCCATCGAATAGGAATCTATGACTCTCCAAACTGCAGTTGTGGTAAAATAGGTAGTATCCGACATATCCTGTTGGAATGCTCCAATAACCAACTTAGTTGTGATAGGTTATACGAACTAATGCTTAAAAACTGCATGAAAAGTGAAATGGCTTTATGTGTAGAAGATATGCTTAGAAATCCCTCCGCTTTTAGTGCTTCGCTTTTGTGTAAATTCCTGAAGGAATGCAATATTATAATTTAAAATTGTTTCAGAACTCTGGAAGAAGTGTTGTCTTAGAGACAGATGCGTGAGAGCGCAGCTTGTTCCATAAACAAATAACATTTACAAATGGTGCTGGGTAAATAATTCAGAAGAGTTAAGCCCAAATAAAGAAAAAAGAAGAAGAAGAAGACTCTATTGACTGTTGTTGGTTCACATCGCAAAGGTCACAGGTGGTTATCTAGTAAATGAGAAGATCGTAAAATTTTGTTTTCTGTCGTATGTCATATTGTCAAAATATTTATGTCATATTTTTGTTTGTGAATTTTTAATCAGATTTTCAAGTATAAATAATGGAACAAGAAATTTCTTATAAAAATCTCTTCAATGTCGGTGACCACATCATTATAAAATTAAAAAGTGATGATATATTTGAAGGGGACATTTCTGATCTCGCTGAGAGCAGAATTGACCTGATTAATGTGAAACAGCATAATAACGAGAATAAGTTAACTGGAGTGTATACATTTTACAGAAATGAAATTGATGACATAAAAAGGATCAAAGTTAAGGAAAATGAGAAGCCGTTAACTGGAACTGTGGAAGACAATTTTGATAACCTGGAACTAACCGATTCCGAATACGATAGAATAAAAGAAATGACTAGAGCATTTGTGTATCTCGATAAAGCAGATTCGAGGTATTTCGAAGCAGTTGATTTATTATCAAGAGCTGAAACTATAGGAGTTGTTGGTTTGGGAACAGAAAAAAGTAGGATAGCTTCTATAAAACTACTTGTTGTATCTACATGGGATCAAGTATTTCTGTTTGATTTCGTGCCACATAAACAAAATTATTTTTATCCAGAGTTAAAAGATATTTTGGAAGCTGAATATTGTTGTAAAGTGATACATGAAGCTGGACCATTGCTGGATATTTTGTATAGGGTTTATAAAGTGTATGTTAATAATACTTTTGACACTCAGATTGTGGATTTAATCATAAAAAGAAAAGAGACCGGAAGTGTACCGGTTTATCTCAGTAACGTTTCAGACCTCTTAACTGATCATTTAAAATTTCCTTCTTCATATTTACAAAAAGCTTTGGACACAACTAATAAAAAATGGGCTGAAAGACCTCTTAGTGATAGGAGAAAGACCTACGCAGCTCAACTGGTTGCTTACTTAATAACACTTAAAGAACACATGCAGAAGGTTTTGTTCGGTGAAATTTATGAAGCAATTGAAAAAATTCATGACTTTTATTTTAACTTGGATTGCTTTCAATTTTCGAAAAATTGGCAGGATAGGACCATTCCTAAAGAGATCCAAAACCTTATTCCAAATTTAAAAAATAACTTAACTCAAAATCAGATTAAAAATACTCCTAAGTCTAGTGTGAGCTCTGTGGGTGTTAGTACAGAGGATCAAGGGGGGTCTTTGCCCCCTATCTAAACTTTATTTGGCTGGATAGTACAATTAGTTCTGGACATTGAACAAAATTCTTTTTAAAATTTAAGAATTTATTGTTTACATTTAAGTTTTTATAATATGCTCTGAATAAATAGTTGAGTTTTTAAAAAAAATGTTTATTTTACTTTTACACTTTTAGGAAGGCAAGAAAACCTAGGTATGTAGGAATTTTATAATTTCGGACAAGGTCGAGTTGCCTCCCAAGATTCAAAATATTACCAGGCATCAAAAAAGTCATGTCCGAAAATACATAAAATGAAAAATATTTACCTAACCTGTGCGGCCTAGAGCCACCGCAGGTTACTTTTCAAAAAATTTACGTAAAATGAGAAAACTATTTAATTTACCTAACCTGTGTGACAGCTATAGAAGGTTGCTTAGCAAATTATATACAAGATGAGAAAAGTTAAAAAAAAATAATGTACCTTACAGGTCCCATTAAAATCTATGGGTGTGCTATCTATATCATTGGATCTTTCGCATCTAGTATACGAGCGGAGCGCCATCTTAATTTCATACAATTTGGGGGACACTTTTTGAGATAAACAACCATAGATAATTAATTTTATTAATTTATCTATGTAAACAACCGTATGAGATTGTCCTCGTTTCCTCCAATGGTCTGTGGTTTCCTCTATAAACTCGATGCTTACGATTTTCCAGTGAAAAAAGTAAGTGATTGAAAGCCTTAAAATCGAAGGTCCATTGTAATTTGACATTTCAAGTGACATGACAGCTTCAACTTGTCACCATACTTTTGTTATGACATGACTTTTGTTTATTCCATAACCAGGGGTGGGAAACTGGTATGCGCAGGCCTGGGATCAATCAACCACGTCCGCGTGGCGCTGCAGTCGGGTGGTGGGGTAGGTGGTGGGAGTGTAAATGACAGGTGAATATTGATTTTTGTGGGGGTGTCATGGCGTCTTGGCTTAAACCAAACGTGCACTTTGTTTATTTATATTGGTGACTGTTGTATTCAGTTGTTTTCATTTCCAATTTGCTTAATTGATTTAGTTGACCACTGTTAATAAGCTTGTTTTTCCATTATAAATTTGTGCTTTTTCCGCTGTTATTTTGTGGTTTTTCATAAAGATGTGTAATTATAGAAAATGTTGTGTACCGAATTGCCTTGTTGTGGACAACAAGATGCATCGCCTGCCTCACCCTACGAATTCACCCGATTTATTTGATTTGTGCACTTGCTGTTCGTTGTCCAAGATTTAATAATAAAACAAGACTACAAATTTATTCCACCTTTGTAGTATGTCATAAACATTTTGAAGAGAAGTATAAAGTAGTTGGCTCTCGTCGAGGTCTAACACCTGAAGCATTTCCAACGCTATTCCTACCAGCAGTTCCTGGAAGAGTAGCGGATGGACTTTCCTCAAATAACATAGAAATTGAATATGTTGATCAAACACCTTCTACTTCAAGTAAAGGTTCGAAGAAGAAGCAGACTAATAATATATGTTGGACTTCTTTTCGAGAAGGAAAGTTAGTAATCTACTCATTTATTTTATACTTATACTGTGTATTTTCTGTTTCATGACATTTGGGGTTGCAAAGCTGTATCGTAGAAGAAGAAGCAGACTAATAATATATGTTGGACTTCTTTTCGAGAAGGAAAGTTAGTACTCTACTTATTTATTTTATACTTATTGCTGTGTTTGAGAATCCACATCAGATGCATTTTTTTCATCTCTAGCGTTTTTTTATCCACATACCTATATATAAAACGTTTATTTAGTAAAAAAAAACCATTTTTTACATGTCAATACATCTTCACGTTTAAAATATAAAAAATACATAAATATAGAATCAACATACATTTAAAATGCAATAAAAAATACATAAGATACAGTACACTTACATGTCAACTATACAAAACAATAAAAGAACAAGAAAGAGAAAAAAAACGTTAATAGGTGAACAGGTATTCACGCAGTTTTATTTTAAATATTGCCACATTTGAAGAACATTTAATATCCTCAGGCAAATTATTAAAAGCCTGTACACCTTTAAAAAACACTGAATTTTGTGTACATTTTTCTTATTACCTGTTTAGGTTCGTGAACATCCTGATTATAACTTAAAATATTTTGTAAATATACTCAGGAGATTCCTGATTAAATTTTAAATATAAAAAGCAGGGAATAGAATAGCAAATATTTTTTAACAGGCAACCACTGAAGCACATTCAACATGGAATTGATTGGTTCCCATCTTGAACAGCTCAGTATTATCCTCAGACCTCTATTCTGCAATTTTTGCAATCATTGAAACTCATTCTGGTTGAGCAAATACAGTATAGTGGCACAATAATTAAAATAAGGTAATATTAAGAGTATTATAAATTATTATTTTAGCCCATTTGCCGAGATGTGGAGAACAGCGCCTCAAATAGTTTATTTTAAATCGGACACATCTGTCCCATTACATTTACGTAAACTGAATCACGTGATCAAAGATTTACTACATCTCAGTTGCATCCGATGTGGATTCTTAAACGCGGCATTTACTGTGAAATTTCTGTTTCATGACGTTTGGGGTTGCAAAGCTGTATCGTAAATGTTGGACTTGTTAAAAAATAAAGTATTCCTCGGACTTATAATTTTTTATTAATACATTTATTTTAATGAGATTGTACTTATACTGTCTTTCTTTTTTCACAGCTAAAGTTCTTCACAAAATGATGGACAGTGTTGTATCCTGGAATATGTAGCAGCCATCCAGCTACTTCATACATAATACAATTTTCATATACATTACATTTTTTAAATATTTGATTTGTATTATATATATATACTTTAATAAATTTATTTTTTGAATATTCTTGTTTTTTTTTATCTAAAAACTGTTAGCCAAATTAAGATTTGTTCACACAAACTGCATTTTTGCTTTATTATAGCGATATTCGCTATAATAAAGCAAAAATGCAATTTGTGTGAACAAATCTTAATTTGGCTAACAGTTTTTAATGCGGATAATTTTTACTGTCAAATTTGAATAGCCCCGCGCTTTTCTTCTCTTCTTCTTTTTATTATTTTCTCTTCTTTCATATGGCCTCTTACCAGACAAGGACTTAATTGAAAAAAAATCAACCACGTCCACCAGGTGCCGCTAAAAACTCTATCATCCTTTTTTAACATGGGAGATACCGTTCTAAGAGTAAGTGTTCTGTGTCCATAACTAAAAGTTTAAGCTATGATATGAAAAGAGAAATATTTTAAAATTCCCCAAAATTAGAAACAAATACAAACATGTGCGATATTATGGATACCAGGTGCCGTCTTTGTGCAGAGTGTTCCTCAAGTCAAATATCTATTTTACAAGATAATGTATTTTGTTCAAAAATATTCCAGTTATTTCAAATTAAAGTTTGCGTGGGTGATAATTTGCCGAGTTGCGTGTGCCATGAATGTTACGAAATGGTCGAGAAAACTTGGAGTTTTAACGACAGAATTCAAAAAGCTCAAGATGTTCTAGCCGAATTGGTAAATAACTCGATTCAAGAAATGTTACCAGTAACTTCAGAATTGGAAGTCTCTGTAGCAACCATTCACACGGACACTGGAACCATGGTGGATTTAGATTATATTCAGGACAATAAAGACGCTAAGTGTGATTTTTTAACAGAAGAAACTTTAGAAATATTTTCTGAAAATACTAATAAATCTATTCATGATAATAAGGTGAAAAATTCATCTGGATGGAGAAAAAGGAAAATTAGGTACACTAGAAATGATGTAAGTATTCTAAAATAGTTATTTTTGTGTCATTGTAGGTACAGCAAATTAACCATTCTATCTATAAAGTTATGTATTTAATTTATTGATTAAAGATTAATTTATTTTTGTACTAATATTAATATCTTTATATCCCTGTCGTCATTCATGCATACAAGAGATAAGGTTTTTAATAGGCACCACAGGGATTAAATTAGGTATATATGTAACCCATAAAATAGCATTGGGAATTGTATCAACAAGTATAGAGTCAATATACATTTAAAATAAAATAAAAATACATAAGTATACAGTCAACGTACATGTAAAATGATAACATAATGTCAACTTTACAACTTAGAAGAAAAAAACATCAGATGGTCAGAAAGTACCCTCGCAGTTTTCTTTGAAATATTGTTGCGTTTAAAGAGCATTTTATGTCTAAATTTTGCTTATTTTGTGTATTGGGTTCATGAATATCCTGATTAATAAATTTTGTAAAGATACTGGGGAGATTCTTGATTCAATCTTAAGTACCTATAAATAGCAGGGAATAGAACAGCAAATATTTTTTAACTGGCAACAACTGAAGCACATTTAACATGGAATTGATTGGTCCCAATCTTGAATAGCCTCAGCATTATCCTCATACCTCTATTCTGCAACTTTTGCAATTGTTGCAACTCATTCTGGTTGAGCAAATACAATATAGTCGCACAGTAATTAAAATGAAGTAATATAAGAGTATTATAAATTATTATTATTACAGTCCATTTGCTAAGATGTGGAGAACAGTGCCTCAAATAGTTGATTATAAATTAGATGCTTTTGATTATGTTATTAGCATGTTCCTCAAATTGTAAATTTGTATCAACTGTACACCTAAATCTTAAATATTTCAAATCCCTAAAATTTTACTTCATCAACGGCACTTAGGCCAATTACCAGTGCCCCAATTAACATCCATTTGGTCTTTCAATTTATTTTCAAAGCGCTTCGGTTACAATAATCATTTATTTTACTTATAAAACTATTAGTTTCTTTAAAACAAGTCTAAATGTTTTCATGGGTAAAATATATAAGGATATAATCTGCAAATAAGTGTATTAAGCATCTTTTGATTACACCAGCAATGTATATAAATTAAAAATAGTAGAGGACCCATAACAATACCCTGCGGCACCCCCATATTATTGTCTATAGTATCCGAAACACACCTTAACCTTCTGTTTCCTATTTTCCATATAATGTCCCAACCAGTCCAGTGCACAACCCCCCAAACCAATATCTCTTAATTTAATTAATAATCTACCTCTATTAATCTTAAATCTAAAAACACCACCAGTGTAACAAAATTATTTTTGATTGACAACTTCCAGTCATGTAACACCAACTGTAAAGCAGTTTCACAGTTGTGTTTACTATGGTATCCTGATTGTACATTACTTATCAAGCTGTTCCCCTCTAAATAATAAATAATTTAAAAAAATATTACTTTTTCTATTAGTTTTCCAATTGTACTGGATCAAATTTAGCAGTCGTAAATGGTTGGTGGAATCGGAAATTTTTGGTATCATAATTATTGTAGCAATCTTAATATAGTCCGAAACTAAGCTGGTTTCAATATAAAAATTTATAATATACAATAGAGGTAGGGATAAACATTCTTTTAATAAAATTGTGAATATTTCGCCTCAACTATTTTTATTTGACATTGAAAATATCAAATTGAAATGCAAGAATAGTATCACAAAAATAAGTAATACATTTTTCCCTGGATGAAGGTTATTCCATTAATTTTGTTCAATTTCAAATTTGCTCGCTAAAATTTGCAAAAAATCTATTAATTCATGGCATTTGCCAAGTGTAGATAACTCAAAATATATCACTTGTTTCAGGATCGTAAGGTGTCAAGAAAAAAATCCAACTTTTCCGAAAATCCTCATTTAGAAAATTTAGAATTCGAAGTTAAACTTGATGGTACAATGATACCGAAAGATGACAACCAGGGATGGAATATGTATCCATTTACCTGCGCTGACTGCCATAATCTCTTTCAAAATCCAGATGATATTAGACTGCATTATATAAATGCTCATAATGCTCCACCTAGATATTTGTGTGCCGATTGTCCTAAGTCTTATACAAAATATAGTGTTTTCCTGGCACATGTTCGAGTGCATAGGTTAGAATTAATTTTTGAAATATTTTTTTTTTAATTTATAACAATAAAACATCAAGTTTGTTCTAAGATTTGGTTGTACAAAATTTTAAAAGGATAACACATTTTTTAATATTTAAGATTAATATAAAGGTGTTTAAATTGAAATAAAATCAAATTCCTAAAAAAGATGTAACAACTAAGAAGGTTGCAATAAGATCTGTTTAAATTTAATATTTACTATACATTATGTCCCGAAATTACACGGTCATATTTTAACAGCATAATCTACATACTAAAATAGGAGTAAAAGTTCATATATACATAGGTCCGAAAACGTTTCTTTTCCGAGATACAGGGTGTTAAAAGTGAAGTCCTGATGACACTTTTTTGTAAATATTCTCTAAACGTTTAAAGATAACTAAATGAAATTCGGTACAAATGCTTATCTTTTTACGTTCTATTTAATGGACTAAACCCCAGTTTTTGATCATCTTCATAGGTGGATAAATTAGGGGGGGGGGGGGCTTAGGGTAAAATTGCCTTAAGTTTATTTGGTTGACAGTTTTTAACATTTTTAACTATAAAATTTGAAAAACCAATGTTTTCTTTATAATAAAGTTACTTTTGTGGCATCTCGCTAGGACGCACCATTTTCAAGAAAAAAAGCATTTGAAAATATCATGATAAGTTGATGTTATCTTATTCGAAAGTGTAAACAATAATTAGTAGGCCTGTGAAATCAGAAATTTAATTTTTTTTTTACTTTGGAAAACCGTGACTAAAGAAATTTTTGAAATTTACAAAAATGTGCCATCAGGACTTCACTTGTAACACCCTGTATCTCGAAAACGAAACGTTTTCGGACATATGTTTATATGAACTTTTATTTATATTTTAGGATGTAGATTAGGCTGTTAAAATATGACTGTCTAATTTCGGGACACCCTGTATAGGTACTTATGAAACATAGTGAAAAATCCATATTTGACATAGTCTTGATTTTTTTAATAGTATAATAATTATTTTCTGATAAAATAAGTAATTTGCCTAAATTCAGCATTGTTTGGTATAATAGACTTATTAAATCTGAACTCTATTTACATAAATATCTATTTCAGATCTCGGTTAAGACTATGTTGTGATATGTGCTACAAGTGGTTTCCTACAGCTTCTGAACAAGAACAACATCGGTTACTACACGGTGAAACCAGACCATATATTTGTACAACGTGTGGCAAAAAATTTCGGATGCAGTCTTCACTCATTGTAAGCTATATTATCAAAATTATCAAAAACAACATATCGGCGGGGGTGGGTTGGCTTATCAGTATTTTAAATCCTTTATTATTCGTGATCATAAGTAGCCAATGAAATAGTTACAAATAATGTTAAAGTTAAAAATCATATATGACCGTTACTTTTGAGAAGTGTTTTAAATAAAAAAAAAATCAATATCTCGAAATCTTTTGATTTTTTTTATTAAAAAAAAAAATGTGCTTATATAAAACAAACAAAGGTACAAAATCAGCAGAATTAAATTATTTTTGGAGAACTGACAAATAAAAAATCGGACGATCTTTTACATTTTTCAGGTTCATTCCCGATCTCATCTTCCAACTGAAATAAAAAACCAGTACCAATGTGATCAGTGTCCGAAAAAATTCGGTACCAAACCTAATCTAATGGCCCACAAGCGGATACATACAGGAGTCAGAGATTACACCTGTGACCAATGTGGCAAAAGTTTTATACAAAAAGGTAAAATAAATATATAAAAATAAATCCCCAAAAAAATTATATATTTCTGGCAGGTAATTTAGACAACCATTTGTTGACCCACACGGCCGTCCGACCGTACAACTGCAACATTTGCGGGAAATCGTTTAAAACGATAGTGCGCCTGCGCAAACACAGTTCCGTTCATTCCGGCTTGAAACCGCACAGATGCGACATATGCGGTAGGCAGTTCAGAGAACGGGGAACGCTGAAAGAACACCATCGGATACACACGGGAGCTATGCCGTTCACTTGCGAATTTTGCGGCAAGTGTTTCCGGTTTAAGGGGGTGCTGACCACGCATAGGAGGCAACACACAGGTCAGTCGATGTAATACAGTTGATTGTTCGTTATTTAATAATTATTTATGATGAAACGAAGAGAATGATAGTCCAAAAACAAGATTTAGAAACTACAGTATTGTCCAAATAAGTTTATAGTCGAATCTGGAAAAAATGGATAGTAATGGAATGTCAGGAATGTATGAAGAATGCTGAAAGAGTTGCCATATCTAGGAAAGAGGTGTTTCTTTGTGATTGCTTGGTTTGTAGTCTGCTTCTTCTATTGACTTGTTAAATACGTTTTTGATAGTATTTCATTATATTTTTACATTGGGCTTGTTCCAACAATGATCAAAAACCAGTCACTAATGTTAGTATTCTGCGCAGTAAATAATTTGGCGTTCCCAATAAACTGCTGCGCAGAATCCTGGTATCACTAACTGTTTTCTGATCGTTGTTTTGGTGTTACAACTTATAAACAAATCTCATGACCTCATCAAATCAGAGTAATTTCTTTTAGCAGTAGATATTTTTAATACAATTTTTAACATAATTAGCAATCCTCTAGGACAGTCTAGGATATATATTCTTGAATCTCGGGGAGTAGACATTTTGAGTGAAAAATGAGACGAACATTAAGTTTTGTATGTGCAAATAAAGAAGAAAATCCAGTTTTCCATTCAATAACTCTAGAATAGCTATTCTGAAAACAATGCTTTCACTATTTTAAAGGAAACTGTTACATACAGACCTTCCATATCTAAAAAAAGAATGAGATAACTTGTTATATCATAATAATTTGACCACTATGTTGAATAACAATGTAAATGCTTGCAATTATCCTTTTATAAACAAAATTGGTCTAGTAGTTGTTCGTTGTAGATTGTTTTCATCCTATTAATGACTAGCGTTAAAAATTTATACATCATCTTACTTAGATTATTTTACGTTTAAAAATATCGTGTTTTTAACAATTGTTGGCTCATTATCAAATTCTATTCGCTTTTGACTATAGTTTTGATACGATTTAATCCAAATATTACTTTTTAGGCGAACGACCATATTCCTGCAACGAATGCCAGCACCACTTTACGAATTGGCCAAATTACAACAAACACATGAAAAGAAGGCATGGCATTAACACGAGCGTTACTTGCAGAACTCGACAAGACATTCCTCCTACTGGTATGCCTCACAGGAATCCCCCCGGTACCGTTTTGGCTCCTCCGCAGCCAGTAATGGTTCCGGATAATTATACAGAACCGCCGCCTACTTTTTACCCAGTTCTAAACTTGTATACCATTCCTGAAGAACTTTTGCAACAGAGAGTTTAAAAAAAGCTGTTGTGGGTGCGAGTTATTTTGTTTTGATTTATGCGCGCTTTGCATCTGACAATTTCTTAAAGAATTAATTCATGAAGTCCCTTTATAAAGAAATTGATAGAATAAATTCACGAATTTCTTCGCCAGAAATAGAACACGTTCTATTTTTCATCCACCCATTGGAGGAGGTTATTGATACAATGACAATACAGTTAAAATAAAATTGACAATAATGACATAAGAAATAGGGTCAAGTAGATATTATAATAATAATAATAATAATAATAATAATAATAATAATAATAATAATAAAACGTCTTTATTAAAATTTTTGAAAATTACAAAAATGCAATGTAAGGGCGAGATTTAGCCTACACTTTATCCACAACTGGTATCTATAGATCAATTCTAAACTGGCAAGTGTCCGATAACATTTCGATGTCAGACTACCGCTGGTTAACATTCTAAATAAACTTGATGTTGCCGACCTCCACGCTATCTCGGAACCCTAGGAAGACGGACAGGGGAATCTATGCCCACCTTCTCCAAGAGGCTCTGAGAGAGATGGAGGCCGAAACACCAAACAATAACAATGCTTGGAGCCATGTTGGAGTTACAATGTTTGTGCCCAATAAAGAAGACTAAAATGCGATTTAATTGGTACCAAGATCGTTATAACATTAAATTTGGAGTTACAATATGTGTGCTTTAGATGGACGATATACAAAGTTGAAATTATTTACAATTGTAAAACCATTTTCATAGTGAAGAAATTCTTGAATTCATTCAATAGATGTAAAGCGGGCATTAGCGTAGTTAGTAAGCAGATCGTGGCAGCCATTATTAAATTAATTTAAAGTATCCGATTTTTAAAGGTTTTAGTTCTGAACGTTTTAAATATTTCTTTGACTAGCGTTTTTTATATTAATATTTTTTAAGAATCATCCTGTTGCCGAAACGTACTGACTGTTCCTTTTATAAAAAAATTACATTTTTAAATAAATTTTAATTTATTTGATTGTATATAAAAGAAAATAAAAATGAATATCTTAATATGTAGTTATTCTTTTCATTTCTCTGAATTATATTAAAATTCTGCCCTGAAAAATGGGATTTATTGTGATATTTAGGTTTTAATGTTGTTTCTAGAAAAAAAAAAAAAAAAAACGGCAGGTTGGACCTTTTTAAAAGAAAATTGTAATGCAATAGTTTTCCGATATATTTGGTATAGGAGGTTTTATTGTGACATGCTTTATAGTCATTACTTAAATTCTATATAACCAAAGTTATGGAAAAATCTATTACCATTAGGCTCCTTAAATATTACAAATCCATTGAATTAATCCAAACAAATAACCGTCTGGTTTCCATTTAAACGCAGTTTATTTAAACAAATACTTTATTTACAAACACAAAACACATCGCGGTTGCTAAGTTTAACTAAAAATAATTCGGTTTACAATTATTTTAGAAAAAACAAAATAACTGATGTGATCACTTCTAAAGAGACCTTATCTGTACTGTCACTAGTTACGGTTCATAATTTTCTTTGCTGCAAGTAAAATAGTGACAATTCATTGCAAAAATCCTAAACACAAAATAAAACACAATACACGATAAAATAACTCACTTTCTCGAAATATAAACACACTACAAGTCGTTGAGAATAAAAAATATGATATTCTATTTATCAATGAAATAAAGGAAGTCATGCATATGCAACTAACAATACGAGAAAGTAATATTGGTTGCCTAGATGTCGGTAATGTTTTACCAACAAAATAGAATTTTATAAATAATCTAGTTAAATACCTTTCCGGTAAGGAATGAGAGCTGACATACAAAATTATTAAAAAAAAATAAGCGAGTATATACGCCATGATTCACTAGGCCCTAACCTGGTAGTGTTGATATACATTAGTGACATGTAGATAATTAAATAGTTAAATTATCCCAATATTGTGAGAAACGTCAAATCCTTCTTGTACGGGACCACAGACCAGGCCCGTAGCGACCACTGCTAATTGCGAGGTTCTCATAATAGTTTTTGGTTGCTTGAGAGTGCAGCCCTAAATGGGTGATAAACTTCATCTAAGGCTAAATATCACGAGTCTGATAGCGAACAAGTACCGTAAGATCAAGTTGAAAAGCACTTTGAAGAGTATGTAAAACTGTTCAGAGGTAAACCTGAGAAACTCGAAACGGGAAATTCATTTATGATCGGCTGTCGGAGTTGGACGTTCGTGTGACAGATGGCGTTAGCGTCGTCTGCGCCTCGTTATTCTAACGTCAAAAGCGTGCAAATTCCCTGTATTAGACTGTGGATCCCACATCACTTTCACGGATGTACACCTTAAAGTTCTAGACTCTCTCAACTACTATACCATCAGTAGGATACAATTTGTCTTTGGATGCCATAATAAATATCTACACTTATCTACAACATTGTTTTATGGGGAAATACCATTGATAACGATAGAATAAATGCAAATGCTAGAAATGTACGTGCTAGACATTTTTAAACCAATTGGCAGTGCTCATTACAGCCATTTTTTTTTTTTTTTAGAATTGTAGCTGCAATACATTTTCAGTCCATCGTTCTTTTCAGCAATTGCAACAGCTGATTGAAAGGACGTTAGAGCGCAGGCATGCATTACGAATTGCCGCAATTTTACTTGCAAAGAAAAATAACGCTAGCCCAAAATGACAATCATCATATTTTAAAATGTATTCCTGTAAAACACCGTGCAGAGTTTTATTCACGATATCGTACCACAGAAAAAACAAAAAATGACTAGCTAACCATTTTATTTTTCCCCAAAACCATGTCAACCTGACTCTGATGAAAATCTATTTCGTTGATCAAAAAACCGGCCAAAACTTCTGGTTTGGGATCAACTTTCAGAAAATCGGCAACCAAGCTTCTAGGATGTTTACCACCTCCATGACTGAGACACTCCTCCCTATATTTCTGACCGTTCTCCCTGTTAAATGGATCTTTTTCAAAGTATTGTGTCCAAACTGAATAAGCCAAAGCTCTAGATACTAAATAAGAATAATATTTAGCCCCATATCCCACTAAATGACTGAATCTCAATTGCCAGGCTGTATTTGGTATATGCGGCAAACAATAAAAGTCTTTTTGTGTATTTGCGAGTACTTCTGTTGTGCTACCAGCTAAAGGATGCAAACCATGGTATTTTTGATCAATGGCTGCATAAAATATTTGCAACTGGGTTTCGCTAGCTGTAAATAATCTTTTTGAAGCACACAATCTAAAAATTAAATTAAATAACAGAAAAAATAGCTAAAAATGTAAAAATTTGTAATTTTTCAGTAAAAAGTGAAACCACTATAAATATGAGTAAAAGGCATTAAATATGTCTTACCTTTGCAACATATCTTCAGAAATGGGCTGCTGGGTCTGAAAATGTCTTGCAAATTTTCTAAGTACTCTATGATCAGATGCAAAGTATTCCATAAGTATTGATGGTACTTCAGCAAAATCGGTACTACATCTAGTCCCGCTAACATGTTGGTACCTAGTTCTAGCTAGCATCGAATGCATAGCATGACCCATTTCGTGAAATAGATTATCTACCATACTAGGGCTCAGCAGAGATGGACTAGACCAACGAGGTGTGGGAAGATTTAACATAAGTACTACAATTGGTTGTTGATAAGTACCATCAGCTAAATATCGCCCACCTCTGATGGTGAAATGACAGTCTTGATTCGGTTTTTCAGTTCTTTCATAGAAATCACAATATATATGACCTAGGAGACCCTCAGTTTCATGGACTACTGAAAGTTTGTAGACATCAGGAGACCAACACTCTCCTACAAATGACCTATATAACTTATTTCTACTTTAAATATAATAATTTTAAAAATTACCTGGAGATACTTCAGAATTAACCAACTGAACCCCATATAAAGCCTCAAAAAGTGTGTTCAGTCCATCCATACAGGCTCCCAAAGAGAAATATGGAGAATACTCTTTAGTAGACACCCTAAACCAATCTTTTTTAGCTTTCTGTGTAAAATAAGGGACATCCCAAGCCATAACCGGGCCACAATGTGCATTTTCTACAGCTTTCATTTTGGTCATAGTAGCAAAATCAGCTTTGGATTTGCTCCAAATGTCTTGCGACAATTTTGTTAAAAATGACATTACTTGTTCAGGATGTTCACAGATGGAACCTTTTAGAGCGCGATGGCCATATGTGGAAAAACCACAAAGTCTTGCTAATTCATGTCTGCAGGATAGCATTCTGTTTAGGATAAGATCTTGATTAGGGTCTGGATGTAAGAATATTCTGTAGGCCATTTCCCTAGCCAGAGGGTCCACTGAATCTGTGTAAAGGCCTGACACTAAAATATATTATTTTTAATTTAAAGTAGATGTCTGCAGAAAAAATTATCATTATGTTGATAAAAATTCAAAAAAGTGATATTGAACCATTTTTGTGAGGGACATGAGCTGTAGTTATGTTACTGAACCTAATGTACATATTGTTGCTGCTGTTACTTTGACAGTTATCAAATATAGATTTCCCTTTTAATGAGCAGACTGACATGCTATTAGTGTCGGCGAGTATCAAGAGAAGAATTCCAAATTACAAAACTTTTGCATGAATCAAAAGGCATTTTCGAGAAATAGAAAGGTTGAAGCCAGTCAGAATTAATGCTGAAATATCATCAGTTAAGAAGAATACTATCCTAAGTCCTTTTCTATTAGTTTTGAGTATTACACATTTGAAATATTGATAACGAAAATAATTATAAGCAATTTTTATTCCCCATATGGCTTCTTAGGACATTGGATAATATTGCACAAGCTAGAATTAAATATAGGACTTATGTCAATAACTTATTTTTCAAAAAAATCTGATGTGTCCAACACATGACTTTCCTATCTAGTTATTACAGGCTTTTTCCGTTTATTGTGTACAACCTATTGCAGCATCTCTATAAATGTTTAGAGGATAAACTAAATATATATACATTGTCCACATACATCTACCGCGAAACATTTTTCTATAGATATTCATTGAAAATGAAAATACTGAAAAATTTAAATTTAGCACTTTTCCTACAATTTTTCCATTACGGTCCATTTAAAAAAAATCATGTATAAACAAATATTATAGAGATCGATATCGCAAACAACTTTTATTTCAACAATTTTCATAAAAATCAGAATTTTGCACATTTTGTCAAATTTCTCGAATACGGACCATTTCAGGAAATTTTTACATAAGGCAAAAATTATAGATAATAATATTAGAAGTAACTTTTATTTGAACAATTTTCTTCTCCAAACATAAATAACAGATATATTCCATAAAATATATAAACGGCCTCCCATAAAGTACCCCCCCAGATGTTCCGACTTTGTCCAAAATCTAATCATTTCACGTTAGGCCGAAATAAAACTTAAGTTTAAAATTTATTGATTTTTTCTTTATCCGTTTTTGAGTTTTCTTCAAATTTCGAAATTTACACATTTTCTCAAATATCTCGAATACGGTCCATTTTAGAGAAATTATCTATGGGACAAAAATTATAGAGAATTATATTACAAACAACTTTTGTTTGAACAATTTTTATAAAAAAAAAATATTTTTTTACATTTTGTCAAATTTCTCGAATACAGACCATTTTAGGAAAATTTTGTAAATGACAAAAATTATAGATAATAAAATAAGAAGTAACTTATTTAAAAAAATTTCTTCCCCAAACGTAAATAACAGATATATTCCATAAAATATAAAAATGACCACCTATAAAGTACCCCCCCAGATGTTCCGACTCTGCCCAAAATCTAATCAGCTCATTAGACGCTGGAATAAAGCTTAAGTTTGAAATTTGGTGTTTTTCCGTGTATCGGTTCATGAGTTATGCGTTATACAGACACACACACACAGACACACACACAGACACACACACAGACAGACAGACATCATCGCGAAAATAGTCAAAACGGATTCAGGGGACCTCAAAACGTAAAAATCCGTCGAAAACTCGAGGTCGAAAAAAATCATGATTCCTATACTTTCCTTATATCTGTATACAGATAGGAAAGTAAAAATGGACATAGGATAGTTTCGACCGACAATATGTTGATAAAAATTTAAAAAGTGTTATTAAACCATTTTTGGTGTGGGACATGAGTTAGTTATTGAATCTAATGTACATATATTTGTAACTAGCTATTGCCCGCGGCTTTGCTCGCAACTTTTCTCGCATGTAGTCGTGTTATTAACATAAAAAAATATATGACTTCCTTTTTATTAGTTTTATTGATTTTCATTTTTTTTTGTACTTATTAATTTTTATTTATTTTTACTCATATTTATTCATTTTTATTCACTTTTATCCATTTTTATTCACTTTTATTCATTTTTAATTAATTTTTATTCAGTTTTATTTATTTTTATTCATTTTTATCCATTTCTATTCATTTTTATTCAATTTTATATATTTTTATAAATTTTTATTAATTTTTAATAATTTTTATTAATTTTTATTAATTTTTATTAATTTTTATTAATTTTTATTAATTTTTATTAATTTTTATTAATTTTTATTAATTTTTATTAATTTCTATTAATTTTTATTAATTTTTATTAATTTTTATTAATTTTTAATAATTTTTATTCATTTTTCTTCATTTTTAATAATTTTAATTTTTATTCATTTTCACCCCCGTTTTCCCCCTTAAAATGTGAAAATCCAAAAACCATGAAACACTTCATTATTTATTTTTGATGAGAATCTACAATTCCAATTTTCAAATTAAAAAAAAATCGATATTTCCAAATAAACTTTTACCCCCTCGTTCCCCCCCTTAAAATGTAAAAATTCAAAAACCCTAAAACACATTATTAATTTGTACTCATTAGCTGCAATTCCAATTTTCATGTTTCTAACTTCAAAGAGAACAAAAAAAGTTATACTCCCATACAAACTTTTGCCCCCGTTTGCCCCCCTAAAGATGTAAAAATATAAAAACCCTAAAACAGATTATTATTAATTTGTACTCAGTAGCTGCAATTTCAATTTTCATGTTTTTAATTTTAAAGAGAACCAAAAACATGGATACTCCCAAATAAATTTTCACCCCCATTTCCCCCCTTAAAATGTGAAAATCCAAAAACCCTGAAACACGTCATTAATAATTTGTAATCAGTAGCTGCAATTCCAATTTTCATGTTTCTAACTTAATAGAGAACAAAAAAAATCGATAGTCCCTTACAAACTTTCACCCCCCGTTTTCCCCCCTTAAAATGTAAAAAATCCAAAAACCCTGAAACACGTCATTATTTATTAATGCTCAGTAGCTGTAATTTAAATTTTCATGTTTCTAACTTTAAAGAACAAAGAGTTTCATTAAAAGCTCCCTCCCCCCATTTTCTCCAATTTCCCCTATTTAAAGATAAAATTTCCAAAAATCCTTTCTTAGCGGATGCTTACGTTATAAAATAAACCTATGTTCCAAATTTCAGTTTTCTAGGCTCAGTAGTTTTAGCTGTACACTGATAGGTCTATATATATTATTTAACTTACCCACAATTGTGTCTCCATCACTAGTCAAAATATTTCTAACATTATTTGGCAAGTTAAATTTATTTATCAATCTAGGCGTTGAAGAATTTGCCACAAATTGCTGACCTAAACTAAGAATCTCATCCGTTAAAGCAACAACTTTATTTCTTTCAAGTTTTGGCAGATGTATACCGCACTGTTCAAAGTCTATGAGGAATAATTCGCCAACATGTTTATCTACAACTGTATTTTTGTCAATATCTAATTTGTTTACAGCTTCTTTAAGTGCCCTGTACAGAGATAAATTTGTGTTTAGTTTTTCAACCACACCACTGACCGCACAGCATGCATTTTCTGCCGCTCTACGATACTTATTGTCAGGATGAGCAAGTCTAATGAATTCTGCCAAATCTGCTACTTGGCATAGAGAATCTGACATGTTATCAAAAATTTCAACCATTTTTGTATTCCTTTCATTGCTTAATGCTTCGTTTATGAAATTATTTGTATTCTTAATACATTTATGTTCTATATTATTAAATCCTTCACTGGAAGTTAGTTCAGGAACTCCAAATAAACCTATATTTTCCCTGCGGTAATTAAATTTATGGGACGGTCTTGTATTAAACGCTTCAGCCAGGGGAGACCATATAGACAAACCATTCTTTTGTAAATATTCTAAATTTACTGTAGCCCTTAATAAACACTGTCTGCGGCATATTGATGAATACATTGTACATGTTTTAAGAAATGTTCATTAAATTTTTCATATTATCATTTCCTAAATAAAAGGCACTCAAATCGACAACAAAAATGTCAATTTAATGACTTCTTAACCTTACTTTTCATTACAGTTATTAATTAAGAGACTGTATGACCAAAAGTTCAAAGATCATTTTGAGACTTTTGTTTAAATTAGAAGATTTAACCTAAAAATTTTGACACTGACAGTTGGTTGACAAATCATCCCTTGCAAGAATTTTTAAAAAGAAATGATATTGAATAATGGACACTTTATACAATCAAACAAACAAATTAATTCAACAAACACAAGCGAGTTTTCAGTTACTAGAAGGTAGCGGGCAAAATGTCGTTGATATTGAAGCGGATATTCATCAAAAACTTGAAGTAATTAATAGGTATACATGTTCCATCTGTAAGTTAAAAATTAACTAATATAAACCATTTTGTTATAGTAATTGTGGTAAATTAGACTTGTATACCTTAAAGTTACCTTTAGAACAGAGGCAAAATGCTAAAATGCGATGTGATCAGTTAAAATATGATAGTAGACACTTGCAGGCTGCTTTGATAGCGGCACAGCAAAAAAGGGCGCGCAGAGAAGCAGTAGCTACTGAAAGAGAGCAGTTATTAAATAGAAGATTCGCGCCAAATCCCGACATAACTGCTATTAATATTGACTATGCTGTTCAACATCAAACATCCCTACAAAACGCCAATAGAGGTATGGATGAAATGTTGTACACTGGAGCTAACACTTTAGACTCTTTAAGGTCACAAAGGATTACTTTAAAGGGGGCACACAAGAAGATAGTAGATATGGCTAATACACTTGGATTAAGCAGTCATACACTGAGGTTAATACAGAAGAGGGTCTCTGAGGATAAAATTATATTACTTTTGGGGGTGGTCATTACTTTAATTGTAATTGTTTTAGTCATAATTTTCTTGACATAAAATAGGGCTTGTTATTAAATTGATCTTGAGATTGCCAAATATATCAGACAAGCTAATGTAAGCAAATGTAAATGTATATTTTTTGTGCTTTTGTTAAAATTTCATAATTTTTCAGTGCTCCTGTATTTTTAGTACTTTATATGATTCAGCAGCATTTATCTTACAGTATTTTAGTTCTTTAAGAGTCAAATCAGTTGAACTTTATTAGAATTTATATCAACTGAAAAATAATTGAACCGTTAACATAAAATATACTACTAAACTCTTGTATAGACAGATCTAAAATAGTTAAACTAATAGACATTCCCTACAATATGCTGTTTAAGGTATAGTTTGTCCACAGTCCAGTTATGAGATGATCTTTACATCAGGTATATGGTCCAACATATATATCTATTGACAAATTATAATAGTCCAAATTTATTTATACCTATAAATTATATAGGTACATTTGTGTTTATACTTTTTGTAATAAAAAACCTATTAAATACTTTCAAAGTTGAAATTTACAGTGATTTCATTTCAATTATGTCAAAATCTTTCAGCACTAAACTTTCTAATGAACTAATTAGTACCTCATCAAAGTATTTATTAAGATTTTCTAAATTATGTTCAAAGTAATAATATTATATAATTAATGAATAGGTAAGATGGTAACTAATAATTATTTATAGCTAATTAATTTTCACTAATAATGTTACAAGAAAATGAGATGGAGTGTGTAAGCAAAATGAAAAAATAATTAAAAATGCTTTTTTAAATACTTAAAAGACATTTATTGATTACAGAGATTGCATAAATATATGCATTGGTAATAAATAGAGTACTTGTTAATTCATTTTTAATGATTACCTATTATATAATTCATTTTTATTTCTTGAATTTGAATACAGAAAAATCAGTCAAATGAATTTACTAATGAATAATTCATATACAGATAATACAACTCTTTGACTAGACGGTATATTGATGTTTATTAACATATACAGGGTGCCCCATTAATGTGAAATTGCTCAATAATTCAATTTGTATTATAAACATAAGTATTTTGTTATACGTATTTAAACAATATTTTTGGATATACAGGGTCAAATAAAAATTAATGTTTTAAATTGAAGATTTTACCCTAAAATATATAAAAAAAAAATTTTCAGGGTTGCAAAGCAATTAATTTTTTTGTAAAATTAGGGAATGATGATGAAAATTACAATTTAAGTAGGTGAGCAATTAAATTTCATTGACATACGTTCTTCAATTAAACATCATACCTAAACCGGATCTATAAATAAAAGAACACCTGCGTCTAGCAACAATTTTACATTCCAACAAAGATATCTTCTATCTCTTAAGTAAGTAATAGTACCCTCTAGCTTTAACGCAATAGAACTAAAAACTATTTCATGTAAAACCTATGGCATAGGTACAGGTCAACAAGGACTGAGGAAGGTTATGCTGTATATAGAAATCAGAACAAACATTTTTAAAATGTATTGGCTGTATCTAGAAAAGATTAGGAAGAGGCGAAAAGAAAAGTTACTCCTATGTAAAAAGAATTCTGAATACAAACAGCACTCAGATCACGCTAAGCAACCCTACAAACAAATTTAAGAACCAGCTGAGATAGCAGAAATATTTGCAGAACAGTTCAGTGCAGCTTGTACAACAGAAACTGATACAGAATCACCGCAAATAACTGCAACAGAAAGAGTTGAGAGTAGCATAGTAAATATAGAAGTTATCCCAGAAAAGTTAAATTTGCAATAGATAGTCTTAAACAAGATTAAAGTCCTGGAATAGATGAAATCTCACCCATTTTTCTTAAAAAATGTTCTAATATTAATAATTAATCTTTTCGCGACAGTTATGAACGACTCCTCTATATAAGCAAAAACAGGAAGGGTCATCAATGGACTGAAAACAGGCTATAGTCATTAGTCACTCCTATATATAAAAAAACACCCCATAAACTACCGTCCGCAGTCAGTCTTACAAGCTATGTATAGGCAAAGCAATGAAAAAGAAGTAACGGAGTTTATGAATACTTTGAAATAAGAGGCATTATTGTGGATTAAAAGTTTTTTTATTCAACCTGCAGTTCTGCGTAAGAATAAATGGACAGCTATCAAACGACCACCTAGTAAAAAGTGGAGTGCCGCAAGCTTCGGTCTTGGGTCCCCTATTATTAATTTTATACACCAGCGATTTATGCAAAATCATCGAGTCCGAAGCCAACTTTTATGGAGACGAGGGAAAGATCTACTGCAAACTACTGGAAAGCTCTCACAAAATTAAACAAGATTTGTATAAACTGAAAATCTGGTTTCAGCAATGGACTACCTCTCAACATAAATAAGTGTACAGTATTGCATATTGGCCCAAATAATTCCCACACACACAGTACACCATAGATACAAAAACGCAATCACTCCAGTCGAAACACAAAAGGATATTGGTGTAATATCTATAAACTGAAAATGGGAAACCCACACGGCTAATATAGAAAGTCAACAGTCTCATTTACATTATCAAAAGAGCTTTTAAAGACCATTCCGAAGATATGATCCATGATCCTAAAACTGTACACAACTTACATAAGACCGTTTGAGATCCATACTTTATTGAAGACATTGAACTGATGGGAAGAGTACAAAGGAGTCACCAAAATACCACCAACCCTACAAAACAATGAGTATGGTGATCGGCTAGCTAAACTACAACATTTAAATTTAAAGGATATAACTTGATAGTAACTTACACTTTTTTGAAAAGGACAGTCCTCTTTCAAGCAAAATATCCTGCGACTTTTTATATCTTAAAATATGTCCTTTTTTATGGCATATGTCCTGTTTTACTCTCTTTGATACCTTTGAGGAACCTGGCTTGTACAAAAATATACAAGCTGAGAACATTTTTTTTTAGAAGCTTGGTAGAAGGACTAGTACTTTTTTGTGAAACAGTCGTCGACCTTTTTTTTTGAAGCTAGGTAGAAGCAAAAGCACTATTTTTGTGACACAGTCGAGCTGTTTTTTGTTTTAGAAGTTCAGTAGAAGGATTGAGACTCTTTTGTATACATGATCTCCTATCGGCATCATAGTCCTTTTTACACTTCTTTTCAAAATGGTGGTAACCCTAGTTTCAGCCCAGAACATAAACCAGTTTAACGCGAGAAGTGTTGAAACACACTGTATAAGGTACAGGCGATAAGTGACCGAGTAAGGAGACCGAAATGTGTCTCTTACGTCTGAATCACATGTCGTCAACTTAAGATGTAACTGACCCAACTCCAAAATCGAAAATTATTCAGGAGATGCAAAAAACAACTTAGAAAGTGAAAGCCTAATTAGGCTGTTATAGAATAAACGAGAGATAGGTCAGTTTCGACTCGAGTTTTGCGGCGGCATTTTTGACGTTTCGTAAGTTTAATTTTTATATGAACGTGATCAACTTAAAATACCATTTTGAGCAAAAAGTGGAGTCGGACCATTTGCATCTCAAGCCGACGATGTAATTAAATGTAGCACATTTCGGACAGCGCGGGTGCAAGAGAAACGACAGCACTTTTAACACATCAGTGTATGCAGCCTGTCGTCTGTCTCGGTCTCGCGTTCCCAAATGGTACCCCGTATAATGTCTTAACTTTATTTTACAAATAAGCAGGCTTCATTTTGTAAGTTCTTTTCCAAATTTCACACAAACAAACGGTCGAATGAAATCTATAAAATATCGCTAACGGCATTGACACATGTGTTATTATAGTCCAAGCCCACAGTCCATAAAAATGGAGCTGTATAGGATGAGATTCAGCTCTAGATTTTTCGAGAGTATTAATAGCCCACATAGCGAGATTCGTAATGAGCAAAAACGTGACTATTTGCCTTCCAGGCTTCTTTTTCATCTGGTCAGTAGTGTAACAAGTTCTTCTAGAAGCGTCTAGGATGAATATAGTTTGGCAAGTAGTTTGTAGTAAAGAGCACAAAGCCGTTATCAGTACTAAAACGGTACTTCTTTGTATAGTGAACTGCCCGCCAATTATCGTGAAAGTACTGTATATAAACATACCGGTCTGAGCTCCTATTAGTAGAATATTATCCAAATGAAGATTTTTGCTTGCATTGTATTTCAAATTCCTCATTTGCCACATACCTATGATGGAAGCAAACGTTGTAAGCCCGTATAGAGTCAGCTCGCAAATATTGACCTCTATAACAGCTAGACCTATAAAATCTACGCGGGATATCAACACAAAAAATAATATTAAAGATATAATAGTTAGAACCAGCAATAGTATGCCTAAAAACAGCCCTTTTTGGGCTCTAGCGCAGTCTACAGAGTAATGGTGGGGGCTTCTTTTGTGTTTACTCAATTCTTCCAATTTTAATTTGGCAGCTGCGGATGCTGTTGGGGGTGGTTTGGATATGCATTTCCACATTACGTAGAGGATGGCTGCGCAGATGAGACTGTATTCTATGGTACAAGGGAAGAGGAACGGTGAAGCATCTTGTACTAGCGATCCTATGATGTTGGTTCTTCTGCATTCGTATAGATGGTGAGGGCCTTTTAAACCTCTAGTAACAATATGATGGGATGTTGTGTTGGTGGCATTTTCGGGACGGTGGTTAAACGGGTGAGGAAGAGCTGAAATCAACAGAATTTGAAGACAAGTTTAAAGGTTTATATATATTGTATATATAAAACAATAACCATGCACTTACCACTGTTTAAGACATTGCTCTTGTAGGGTATACGGTGGGATATCTTTAGAGTGTTATTTTCAGGATCATAAAACGTAAGTATTTCATGTTTGGTTTCCTGAACCAGCACATTTAACCATACTGATAGATTCGTGCCGATCATGTGCATCAAACCAAATCGGGCTGCCAGTTTTTGCTTATAAACTCTTATTTGCTGCAATATAAAAGATTTTGCGAATTCAAGGAAATATAAACAGTTTTATTTAAATTTAATTTAATCAAGGATAAATATTTAAATTAATTAAAAAAATAATTAAACAACGCAATCACAACTCGTTACTTGAAAGGGTGTGACACTTGTACACGTTTGCATTAATCAGTAACTACAATAGTATATTACATTACGAATGTGGAAAGTGACATTTTGCGCACACGAGTGGGAATTAAAAGTTGAGTGCGCCAATCACAGGAGTATGAAAAATCACTTTTATACAAGTGAACAAAATTATTCCTAAATTGTCGTAGGAAAAGGTATTTTTTAAGTAGCGAGGCGAATCTAATAGTTATTTTAAATCCTAAAATAATTCGCTTAAAATTAATCATCGTTTGGTTTGTTTTTTAACAATTTGCAAAACAAAATACTTAGGTACAAGGGGTTGTTCCTTGGACTATTTTAAGAATATTTTGTTCTATGATGATTTTTAAAATTTCGATTCGTTTAGGAAATACACAACATTTTCGAGAAAACTATTTTTATTATTTTTAAAATTATTAATAGTCTAAATAAAAATAGGTACTACACTGTGTTAACCAAGAAAATACAACTTTTTTAAAAATTCGTTATTTTTATTATTTTTTAACAACATTACTAAATATTACTAAAAACGGCTATTTTTTTCCACTTAACAAAACGGATTTTCAAAAACCATCAAAGGACAAAATATTTTTAGAATAGTCCACGGAATAACCCCTTCAATTTTTATCGCGTGTTTAAAAAAGACCCTGTATATTTATCGTAGTAATAGAAGCGTTATATTTATCTATTTTTCTTACCTCATTGTTTAAGAATATAAAATACATTTGTATAAAAATAAATGCCATTCTTGTAGCAGGTGTTAGTGCCAATAAAACATTATGACACTTCGTATCCCGTTCTAGTTCAAAATATTGCCCAAACTCTAGTCCGGAATATATCATACTACCTATCCCGAAAGCTAAAAACACAAACATTTTTATACTTTTTAAGAAAATATGTAAAAATTATTATAAAAATTTTAACATTTTCAATATGTAAAACAGTTTCTCTTACTTATACAGGATATCCATTATAGAGCTCTCGTTAATTGATGAATTTTAAAATCATAACATGAACCCAGAGATAACGAGGAGATGTAATTACTAACAAATATCGTGCGGTCCTGAATAAGACATATTCTAAGGGACACAGGCGGGTATAGGGGAAGGTGGTACAATATCGACACCCTGGAGAATACCGCCACCCCCCCCCCCTCCTCGAAAACTATCAACTAGAGAACGGCCCTGCTTATTGCCGAACGATAGGCTGTATTAAAAGAGGTAGTCACTGTAGTCAGTAGTTAGAGTATTTTCAGTTGCAGAAGCTTGTTTGGCAATTGCGAGTTAAAACGTGATTTTTCGTAATGAGGGACAATTTGATATTATACAATTAAATTATTCTCAAGTTGTCAACCAAATATAGCCTTTAATCCGCCTACTTTAGAGAGATTAAAAAATAATAAAGAAGTCTTGGAGAGAATTCGATAATTAGAAGCTCGACAGCAGAAGGACCTGGTTCATGAAATTATAAGTTTAGGACCTTTTTTTTAGTAGCTCGAGATAAGGACCTGGTTTATAAAATATAAGAATATTAGAAATTTCACAAAGGTCGGGGTTTTGAGAAATTAAAAAGTGGTAACCCTAAGTTTTTCATATTTACCTACTGCTCCCATTCTCAAATAAAAGCTACCATAGTGGTTGTGTTTACTGTCAATTAAAGAAATAGACATTTTTCTTTGTCTGTAAGGGACAGCTTGAGAACACGTTGTATCGTTCGAATCATTATCGTCATCATCATCATCATCATCATCGTCATCAAAATGAGATTCTTTATCTTCAGCTAAAAGAAATTGTATTTTAGGAAAATTTCTCTACACCTGGAAAAAGCGTAGGTACAATAAAAATCTTACTTGGAACCAGCTTCATTTGTTTCTTGATCCTCCTTTTATCCTTAGCCAAGACAATATACATGTATAAAAGGAAAAACATACTGCCAATGTAAAGATACAAATAATATGCTTCGTAAAAAGATGGAGGAATGTAGGTAGATATCACTTCGGCCATTGGGAATGCCGTACCCATAACTACCAATAGTTTTCCGTAAAGGGCTGATAAAGCGGTGGCTAAAGCATCTCTGAAATCATTTGTATTAATCTTTTATTTGTTGCTTTGCTTTGTTGCTCTTTGCTACTCATTAATCACAATTAAAGTTTGAAATTTCATCGAGTAGGTATCTAATAGCCTCATTTTATGTGCCGAGTGAATATTTCTGAACGAGTTTTGTAGTTTTATAACTTGTTATTTTTATCAATGTTTTAACTTGCCCTATGTGTGGTATTTGCTAGATTACGCATATTAAGTTTATTTTGTTTCATTTTACAGTGCAATAATAATAATGTTTATTTACGAAAATAATATACATGTAATATAAATAAAGCTTTTTAGTTAAATGTGACATATGTAAATCCCACCTTAAATGTCGGTCTAGTGTTACTCCTAAATATTTTATCGAAGTTTCTTTCGGAATTTGGACATTTTGGTCAATTTTTAATGACCCTAAATTGGGTATTTTGTATTTTTCCACATTAAGTGTCAATTTATTATATCTAAACCATTTTAAGATGTCAGATTCTGGTTTTAGTTTTGTTTTCCACAGTGTCATCACTGTATAATATTACAGTATCATATGCGAAGCTTAGTATAGAGCCTTGTGAATTTTGTAGCAATAAGTTGTTGATATATATTGTAAATAATACAGGCCCAAGTGCTGTACCTTGAGGTACTCCGTAGGTTATTGTTTATTCACTACTGTTTGTTTGCTCTCAGATAGGTTACAAATCATATGCATTTCTGCGAATTTAAATATTGTCCAATTTCTCAAACAGTATTTACGTTTTGGTCAAAGTTCAAGGTCTGTCTCACTTAGTACCACATATCGTCGGTCTAAAGCACACTTATTGTATATCCAAAAACGCATTTTTGGACAATCGCAAATTTAAACTTCTAGAAAATGTAATTAAATGCCTTAATTCTCAGTTTTAATTTGAATTTATTGTAGTTTGGTGTGTGTTGGAGCCATGTTGGAGCTACAATTTTTGTGTCCAATATAGAAGACTAAAATGCGATTTAATTGGTACCAAGATCGTTATAACATTAAATTTGGAGTTACAATATGTGTGCTTTAGATCGACGATATGATACTAAATGAGACGGTGTTAATGTTTTAAAAAATATTCGAAAGCATTCTAAAAATTAATGGGCCAAGTTTTGGCTATTTCCCTTCAAGTGAAAAATAAAAATAAAAAAAATTGTCTCACCTTGTACCACCCTCCCCTAAATAGTTGATATAATTACTTACGAGCCCATTTGCTTCCATTCTTCTTGTTTTTCAGCTCTGGACAATCTTCTTGCGAAAGGAAAAGGTTGTTGGTGTTGACAGTAACAACGATGATGATGATAATCGGTTATTGTTCTCGATAATATTCTAAAATTGTTATGATTAATACCTTGTTTTATGGAAATATTGGTAATTTGCAAAATGTACGTACTCTGGATATTTAACTTTTTCTTTTCTCGGAACATCTTCTGGTACAGAATTTCTTTGATCAGATGTAGGTATCAATTCGAGATTATTTATTTCAATTCCGGTTCCAAATTTGACATAAAAAGATTCGTGTGAATCGCTCGAGTCTCTGTTAATATTCACGTTAAAATTAGATGTAATTTCTTCCATGTTATTGTTTATATGTATACTTTATTTCAATACGGTATGATTTAGAAGGACTGAATAACAATTTCAAACAATTAGAGGTTATTAGAGCTCCCCTATTTTTTTAAATGGATTTTCCCCTTCTGTATATACGATTAAATATTGGTTTTAATTCATTTTTTGCTTAACAGTATGTCCCAAAATGTTCACGTATTCAAGACCGATGCATTTAAATAATGTGAACATCCTAAGAAGAAAGGTTTAAAAAATAAAAAAAAATAGGAATAAAGAGAATAATATCAACTTTATCAGTGGTAAAAGCTAAAAGAAAAGGATTAAGAGTACAAATTTTCAAAATATTCTTGCTAATAAATATAGTTTAAAAAACTAAAAACACGCTTTTAGAGCATATCAAACTAAAAAGTTAAAAATAATTTATTTTAACACGCTTTTATTCAAATAAGCTTAAAACAATAATAAATGTAAAATACCAGTATTATTGTGAAAAAAGAGTCGGGCGCTCGATGTACGAGAAATATGGACAAAGCGCCCACGCTTTTTTCACAATAATACTAGTATTTTCCATTTATTATTGTTTTAAGCTTATTTGAAAAATTATTTTTAACTTTTTAGTTTGATATGCTCTAAAAGCGTGTTTTTTTAGTTTTTTAAACTATATTTATTTTTCACTTTTTAGTTCGATGTATTATAAAAATGTGTTTTTCAGTTTTTTTAAACTATATTTATTTTTTACTTATTAGTTCGATTAATTATTAAAAAAATTGCCGAAAAAAAAACAATTATTTTATTTTTCAGCCGTGGACGGGATTAGAACCCACGATCGGTGCGTCGACGTGAGCGAAGACCCGCGCCTTAACCGCTCGGCCAACGAACGAACTTGAAGTAGTGGGATATATTGAGAGTAATAAGCCACTTGCATGCTTTTAGTCCAAAGGAGAGTTACAAACATACATACATACAGGTGAAGCTAATAAAAGCGTGTTAAAAAGTGAACGACCACTTAAACTAATCCAGGTTTAGGCTAATATGATAGCCCATCTTTCCAAAAAACCAATTGGCAGGTCTTCAGGAATTACCATTCTCATGATTTGTTTTATTAATATTGTTTTAAATTTACTTTTTTAAGTAGGTACCTATAATTTGTTTCAGATTAGTACATTTAAGGGACTTGGTGGAAGTGAAAACGATTCGCCTTTATATTTTTATGAAATAATGTTTAAAAATTATTTATTTGTTTGTTTGTTTGTTTAAGAATCAATGTTTGTGTTTTGTGTATTTTAAATAAACATATATATTTTTAAATGTCTTTTTTAAGTCTAGTAATATTTAAGAAACGTTTCATAATATTTATAAAAAAAAAAAGACTAAAAATACATTTCTTAAATAGTAAATATTTCTAAAAATAAATAAAAATATTATATTTACAGAACATTTTTACGTTTCAGGCACATTTCAGGAATGTTTCTGGGACTTTTCGTAATATTTATACAACATTACAAATGTTTCAATGTAACATTTTTGAAATATTTCCGAAATATGTTTGTGTTGTATGGACAGTTGAATTTTTTAAAGAATGTCCATTTCTGTTACCGCTATAAGAGTAAAAATAAATTAAAATTAAAGGCGGCTTCCCTACTAGAAATGTTTTTTATTTTTGGCTTTTTGGCTTCTTGGTTCTTTCTTTTGGCTCTTTAGCTTTTTGACTTTTGGCTTTTTTGTTCGATCTTAATAAAGAATTTAATAAAACAGTACCTAACGGAGTGGGTGGCTTAGTGGTAGAGTCTCTGCCTGCGGATTCAAGGGTACCGGGTTCGAATCCCACCGTTGGCCAGGATTTTTTCATTTAATTAAAATATTTAAAATTAATTCTGATGCCTTGGTAGGATTCCCCACTAGACCATTCGCTGTTGAGTTCTAATCTTCGAGCATATATATTGCTCGAAGGTTCTAATTAACAGTGCTGTTCCTAAAGTGGCGCTGGGAAACAGTAACAAAGCCGACTCAGAACACGAGGCAAAATAACCAAAATAGTTGAAGCCGATAACATAACTATGTACCTACATAGTATTAAATCTTTTACGATGCGATGGTGCAAGTCCGACTCGCACTTGGCCGATTTTGGTATCAAATTTAATGTTGTTGTGGTCAATAAATTTCGTGGAAGGAGTCAAATTTTGTTGAGATAAATCTGGAAAGAGGTAGTTGCCCCCACCCTAATTTTTCATCATTTGAGTAAAAAAACAACAAGAGTAACGAGGGCAATGAATAGGTTGACGAACTTGCAAAAAGGGGGCCAGAAGAAATAACGGAACTAGTTGTAAATTTTGTAGCACCAAAAAGTAGAGTTCGAGGTTTCATAAATGACTGGGGTCAGAGGAAACGCACCAAATATCCAAAAACAAGCACATGGGAAGACCTTTATAGGAAGACCATGTTCAAAAAGAACAGGAGAATTACTCTCCATGAACAGGAACCAGTTAAAAACAATAACATGACTAGGCATGCCCTAGTAAAGGGACACCTGAACAAAATAGGAACCAGAAACAGCCAAAAACATACTGAGGATCGCAAAAGACATGCACTTTTTGGACAACCACAGGTTGATCCAAGAAACAGCAGAACACAACCTGTCAAGGACTTGTACAAACTTGTACTAGGGACTTAGGCAACAGAATGGTTAATATGAAATGGGTCATATACAATAAGCCATTAGTCTTCAATGTTATCGGAGACTAAGTCAGGCGAGCCCAGGAAAAAAGATTAATAGGTACAATGTCTAGAAGTGTCAATCAATATTCTGTTGATATTTTTTCTTGCATTGTACCAATTTAAAAAGCAATGTTACTTCAGATTAGGCAAATAAAAGTTTAATTTAGTTGAGTATCTTAGTATTTTATAATTTTATATATTTAAACATCTACCTATAGGTATAACTACTCCCGTAATTGGACTGATAAAGGCCTGTTGTATGTATAAATAAATGAATTAGGCAAATATTTTGTATTGTCATTGAGAAACCATTTTCTTAGAACGTAACAGGTCAGTGGCGGTTTTGGGGGTCAGAACCCCCCATGGAGGGTCCTCGCGTCACAATTTCCGCTGCAGTATTGGCACTGATCGGGTATGTCTAATTTGCGGATTGGAATTTGACCGCTGCCAGGTACTAAACGAGTAATAGTTAGGAGTTAATATTTCTGACAAGTAATATACATCCCAATACCTTTTTGCCAGGTGAAACAATTTCACCCCCATCGCCTCCAAGGGGTACTTTATTCTTGTCAATTTTGACAAAATTAGTGCCAGGTACTAAAAAAAACGCGGTAAATTGCTGTTACTTCGTACACATAATACATAACCCAATACCTTTTTGCCAGGTGGAACAATTTTTCCCCACATTGCCTCCAAGGGGTACTTTACTCTTGTCAATTTTGACAAAATGAGTGCCAGGTACTAGAAAAAACGCAGTAAATTGCTGTGACTTCGTACACATAATACATAACCCAATACCTTTTTGCCAGGTGAAACCATTTTTCCCCCCATTGCCTCCAAGGGGTACTTTACTCTTGTCAATTTTGACAAAATTAGTGCCAGGTACTACAAAAAACACGCTACATTGCTTAAACTTCGTACACATAATTCCTATCCCAATACCTTTTTGCCAGGTGGAACAATTTTTCCCCCCATTGCCTCCAAGGGGTACTTTACTCTTGTCAATTTTGACGAAATTGGTGCCAGGTACTAGAAAAAAACACGCTTAATTGCATAAACTTTGTACACATAATTCCTATCCCAATACCTTTTTGCCAGGTGAAACCATTTTTCCCCCCTTCGGCTCCAGGGGGTACTTTACTCTTGTCAATTTTGACAAAAGTAGTGCCAGGTACTACAAAAAACACGCTACATTGCTTAAACTTCGTACACATAATTCCTATCCCAATACCTTTTTGCCAGGTTGAACAATTTTTCCCCCCATTGCCTCCAAGGGGTACTTTAATCTTGTCAATTTTGACAAAATGAGTGCCAGGTACTAGAATAAACGCGGTAAATTGCTGTGACTTCGTACACATAATACATAACCCAATACCTTTTTGCCAGGTGAAACCATTTTTCCCCCCATTGCCTCCAAAGGGTACTTTACTCTTGTCAATTTTGACAAAATTAGTGCCAGTTACTACAAAAAACACGCTACATTGCTTAAACTTCGTACACATAATTCCTATCCCAATACCTTTTTGCCAGGTGGAACAATTTTTTCCCCCCATTGCCTCCAAGGGGTACTTTACTCTTGTCAATTTTGACGAAATTGGTGCCAGGTACTAGAAAAAAACACGCTTAATTGCATAAACTTTGTACACATAATTCCTATCCCAATACCTTTTTGCCAGGTGAAACCATTTTTTCCCCCCTTCGGCTCCAGGGGGTACTTTACTCTGTCAATTTTGACAAAATTAGTGCCAGGTACTACAAAAAACACGCTACATTGCTTAAACTTCGTACACATAATTCCTATCCCAATACCTTTTTGCCAGGTGGAACAATTTTTCCCCCCATTGCCTCCAAGGGGTACTTTACTCTTGTCAATTTTGACGAAATTGGTGCCAGGTACTAGAAAAAAAACACGCTTAATTGCATAAACTTTGTACACATAATTCCCATCCCAATACCTGTTTGCCAGGTGAAACCATTTTTCCCCCCTTCGGCTCCAGGGGGTACTTTACTCGTGTCAGTTTTGACAAAATTAGTGCCAGGTACTACAAAAAACACGCTACATTGCTTAAACTTCGTACACATAATTCCTATCCCAATACCTTTTTGCCAGGTGGAACAATTTTCCCCCCCATTGCCTCCAAGGGGTACTTTACTCTTGTCAATTTTGACAAAATGAGTGCCAGGTACTAGAAAAAACGCGGTAAATTGCTGTGACTTCGTACACATAATACATAACCCGATACCTTTTTTGCCAGGTGAAACCATTTTTCCCCCCATTGCCTCCAAGGGGTACTTTACTCTTGTCAATTTTGACAAAATTAGTGCCAGTTACTACAAAATACACGCTACATTGCTTAAACTTCGTACACATAATTCCTATCCCAATACCTTTTT